AAAATGTGACCTAACAGAAAATGTCTGTTGTTATTATCCAGGACAGTTCACTATCTCATCAGGTAAACAACTGGATATTCTACTTCACATCATAGGTAGTTCAACTGTGAAACTATCTGTCACAGGACATTCTGGATATTAAAAAAGTACACCAATTCAAAAAGTGATTACACAAATGCATAGGAATCTCAGTTAAGGACTTCACATTGGTGATTATAAAAAGACCAGGCTCAATTCCTGGGCCATGCAGCTGAATGGTACACACAGGCTCATTTTGAAAACTGAACAAGACACTGGATACTGAGTACTTGTTACGCTGTTCTAGTCCCATGAGTAGAAGGCTCACCTCTTTCCTCTGGTCCTTTGTGGCTTTTTCACAATGAAGTGTTTTGTAACTGTGCATTAATTTATATACTAGCAAACGCCACTACACAGTGCAGAACTACTGAGATGACGAGAGGACTGGAGCATCTTCCATATGAGAAAAGGCTGAGAGAGCTGGGTCTCTTCAGCTTGGAGAAGAGGAGACTGAGGGGTGACCTCGTTAATGTTTATAAATTTGTAAAGGGCAAGTGTCAGGATGAAGGAGCCAGGCTCTTCTCAGTGATAGCCAAGAACAGGACAAGGGGCAATGGGTGCAAGCTGGAACATAGGAGGTTCCATGTGAACATGAGGAAAATCTTTTTTACTGTGAGGGTGCCAGAGCACTGGACCAGGCTGCCCAGAGAGGTTGTGGAGTCTCCTCCTCTGGAAACATTCAAAACCTGCCCGGACACGTTCCTGTGTGACCCAGTCTAGGTGATCCTGCTCTGGCAGGGGGGTTGGACTGGATGATCTTTTGAGGTCCCTTCCAACTCCTAACATTCTGTGATTCTGTAAATGCTCTTCATACACTTATCTAAAGAAAGTAAATGCAGGTTGCTCATTGCCTGTTTCAATCTGAAACAGTTTTCCTTAAAAACTGATAATGCATTTTTGGACATGAGAGAAAATGGATTGCTACTTTCTACAGCTTTTCATTTGCTGTAGTAAGTGACTTAATCAAGACTAAAGAAAAAGCTCTACATTGAAGTTTTGGATTCTGAGCATGTCCCAGACCTACAGAGAAAGGCTTTCTGGAATGCAGTAAGATACTGTGGAGCCACAGGAAGCTCTCAAGGAATATCTATGTCTATCTTCTCAGGATACAACAATTACCAGGACAGCGATTTCTGAAACTGTTGACTGCCAATTTTCTTTAATAACTACTCATGAATCACTCTTATCTCCTTCTTAGTGTTTGGTTTTTTTTGTTTGGTTTGTTTTGTTTTTTCCAGGAAGAGAGGAGGGTGGGGTGTGGTGGTGTGGGTTTATTTTTTTCTTTTCAAAACTAGAGAAGCTATTTAGTGTTTAACACTTTCTCTTCAGCTTACCCATTTCACCACAGAAGCAGGCATCCAGGGTCAATGAAGTGTTGGAGCTTTGTAATGTTATTAACAAGGTGAAAAGGAAGTAGAATAAAAAGTATTTAAATAATAAAAATATCTAACAAGACAATGCTTGAAAGCAACGCCAAGAAACCTAGCTATTTGAATAATTAATTAAAAATACTGTAAGTATGGAACAAACAAGAAAAGTCAATGTGCATGCACAACAGCACACACTGGGATCTATATTTATGCCTGATCACCAATTGTGTGGGTATAATGAAGAGCATTCACTCAAAACCACCCATGATGTAATGACGTTTTTGCTTAATATTTAGTAAGTTAAAAAGGTGATTATGCTAGAACTTATATTAGATTGGTCCTTCTTTTCTGCCCCATGCATCCTTATATCATCTTGTAAAGTTGACTTGTGAAATACTCTGTTGAGTCCTGTTCTGGAATTTTATAGTAAATTGTAGTCGCTGCATGACCTAGCTGCAAAGCATAGCCTGATTTCAGTCATTGCAGGTAATTTCTTTATCAGGGTGATGAAGAGCCTGACTAGAGGAGAGGCACTGCTGAACCTGTTGCTCACTAATGTGGAAGAACTTATAGAAGAGGTTAAGACTGGAGGTAGCCTGGGCTGCAGGAATCATGCCCTGGTGGAATTCTCAGTCTTGAGGGGTACAGGACAGGTAAAATGTAGTCAGGACTCTAAGCCTCAGAAAGGCAAACTTTCAGCTATTTAGGATGCTAGTATGTGGGATCTCTTGGAAACTGTGGCAAAGGAGCAAACAAGAGCTAGGAGATATTTAAAGACATTCTTCTTAAGGCAAAAGAGCTCCCAATCCCAATGTGGAAGAAGTCAGGCAGGGGCCCAAGAGTGCAGGAAGATCAGAAAAGCCAAGGCACAGGTGGAACGAAATGTAGGTAGGGACATGAAAAGTAATAAAGGCTTCTTCAGGTATGCAGGACAACAAAGGAATATGAAAGAAACTGTACCCACTGTGATGAACAAAATGGGAGACCTGGCTACAGCTGACATGGAGAAGGCTGAGGTACTCAGCAACTATATTGCCTTAGTCTTTACCAGGAACTGCTCAAGCCACACCACCCAATTCACAGAATCCAAAGGCAGGGACTGGGAGAATGAAGAACTGCCCACTGCAGGAGAAGACCAGGTTCAAGACCATCTAAGGATCCTAAAGGTGCACAAATCCACAGGTCCTGAAGGAACTGGCAGACATAGGTGCTAAGCCCCTATCTATCATATTTAGAGAAGTTGCAGCAGTCTGGTGAAGTTCTCACTGACTGGAGAAGGGGAAATAATCCACATTTTTAAAAAGGGGTAACAGGAAGACTCAAGAAACTACAGTCCAGTCAGTCTCTACTCTCATGGAGCAGGCTGCAGGAGGTGCTAAGGCACATGAAAAATAAGGAGGTGATTGGTAACAGCCAACATGGCTTCACCAAGGGCAAACTGTGCCTGACAAATCTGGTGGCCTTCTATGATGAGGTTACAGCATTGGTGGATAAGGGATGAGTGACTGATTTCATCTATCTGGTCTTGTGCAAAACATTTTATATCAACATATCCTTGTCTCTCAAATGGAGAGACATGGCTATGATGGGTGGACTACTTAATGAGTAAGGAATTGGCTGGATGGTCATACTCAAAGAGTTGCAGTCAAAAGTGACGAGTGTGTCCCTCCACCAGTGACATATAGTGCCCCTCAGGGGTCCATATTGAGACCAGCACTACTTAGCATCTTTGCTGAGGACATGGATGGTGGGATTGAGTGCACCCTCAGCAAGGTGGCAAACAACACGAAGCTGTGTGGTGTGATTGATACTCTAGGAAGAGCAAGATATCATCCAGAAGGACCTGGACAGACTAGAGAGGTGGGCCTGAACGAAGTGGGCCAAGTGCAAGATTCTGCAGCTGTGTAGGGGCAACTCCAAACATGGGCGATGAGTGGGTTGAGAGCAGCCCTGCAGAGGACTTGAGGATATTGGTGGATGAAAAGCCTGAATGTAAGCTGGCAATGTGTGCTTGCAACCCAGAAAGAAAACCACATCCTGGGCTGCAGCAAAAGAAGTGTGATCAGCAGATCAAGGGAGGTGATTCTGCCCCTCTACTCTGCTTTTGTGAGACCCTACCTGGAGTACTGCGTCCAGTTCTGGGGCCCCCAGCAAAAGAAACACATGGACCTGCACAAGAGGTCCAGAGGAGGGCCAGAGATGATCAGGGGCTGAAGCACCTCTCCTATGAGGACAGGCTTAAGAGAGCTCAAGTTGTTTAGCCTGGGAGATCTTACAGCAGCCCTCCAGTACCTGAAGGGGGGCTACAGGAAAGACAGAGAGGGACTCTTTAGCAGGGAGTGCAGTGATAGGACAAGGGGTAACAGTTTTAAAGTGAAAGAGGGTAGATTTAGACGAGGCATTAAGTAGAAATTCTCTATTGTGAGAGTGGTGAGACACTGGCACAGGTTGCCCAGAGAAGTTGTATGTTCACTCCCTGGAAGAAGAGTTCAGGGCCAGGTTGGACGGGGCTTTGTCCCTGACACCTAGTTGGAACTAGATTATCTTTAAGGTCTCTTCTAACCCAAACCATTCCATGATTTTATACAACCCTTTATTTTTCTGTAAACTGAAAAATCAGTAAACTGAAATCTGGTTAATAAAAGGCATATTTTATTTCCCAAAGCTAATGACTACAGAATTTCCAGCTTCAATTCTGAGGTTAATTTCAGACTATTTGTGTAAAATCAGGCAAGTTATCATTCACATACCTATGGACCACAATAACAAGGGCTATAGAAAAACAATTAGGATGACAGAGAATGCTGGCATTTATTCAGAAATCAACAGAACAGATATTTATTATAAGTCTTGATAAACTTGAAAAAGTGAAGACATATACTATTCGGCAATATAGCATAACGCAATATGAGCTGTTTAGGAAACATGCAGTTGTAGAGTTGCAAGCTCAATATCTGCAGCCTCTTGCATAGAAAGATGTGTCATCTCTCCCACACGTTTAGTCAATAAATTTGTTTGCAAAGGCTCTGGGAAAAAAAAAACCACAAAAAACACATTCTTGAGATGATACTTCAGTGTTAGTTCCATCCAGCTGCAATGCCCTGTACAGAAGGAGCTATTTCAAATTTTGCCTCTACAGAGTGCAAATGCTACAGGAAATTGAGAAAAGTTAAAGCAATCTAAGAAATTAACATAAAAGAGTCATGTATAAAGAATGGTTTTTTTAAAGTAAAAAGGACTGTTAAAAATCTTTACTTTGTATCTTATTAAAACAGCTAAAAAACACCAACAAGCCTCTCCGCAATGCCAATCTTGGCATCACTTGCCATAAACCTAAAAGGCAACTGTAATTGTGAACAGTTAAAGGAGAATTTTTGTATTTCATAAGCTGATCAAGTATAAAATTCATTTAATAAAAAAAACATATTAAACCATCCAACTGGATGAGGTTGGTGATGTAAGAAAAGCTTATCATAAAACGTAAGTATGTGTGAGCCCCCAGGTAAAAGTACTAGTGCTTTATTCTGTTTAAAAGCAAGCATATAGGTAATACTACAAGTGAAAGGCTTCTAGGCGTATTCTGTTTGGATCTTCTGGATGTCTCAGGGCAATCCCATATCGCAGCAGCAGCTCAACATAAGGTGGCCAAAATGAGTCTGTGATTTCTACATAGGGTTCATGTGGTGTGCTTATTAATTTGTTTATAAGAATCTGGAAAACCAAAAGGATAAGATTTAGGAAATGAACAAAACAGCTACATTTTTATCCCCTTTAACGAAATTTATACAAATTATTGTAATGAGAAACTTATGAAGGCAATATAAGAAGAGTACAGGAGAAATACAAGACCTGTTCAAGGTAGAATTAAAACAAAGAACTTCCAATTAACTTCATTACATCTTATTTTTATATAAAAATTAGAACTAAAATTATCCTTTAATCCAGTCTAAGTTTTTTAATATCTGTCAAAAATTTTTAGTGGATTTTAGAAAGTGTAGCTCTAAATGCAAAAAAAAAAATCTAATTAATCTCTAAATCAGTATTTCTTAATTTAAGATTAAAAGCATTAAATAAGAGGGAAAAGCTAGGCCTTTGAGAATCACTTGCTTTAAAGCCATAATGACTTACTGTCAATAAGTAGTATTTTTCCCTCATTTTTTCAGATTTTTAGCAAAGAATAATGTCCATCTTACAATTTTTTTCAAAATTTGATCTCACTAATAAGCGGGAAAAAAAATTGTGTTCCTAGATTGGGAAGAATTATTTTTCATGTGTGCTGTACTGTTAAAAATAAGTAAATCTGCACTTACTCATCATAATCCTAGTTTAACTTCACTACATCTGCACAACAAATCTTTCTGCTCATCTCATAAATGGATTACCCAAATTGTTAATGTCACTTCTTGTTTGGGCATGACAAATGCCTTATAACAATTCACCTCCTCTTGATACTTCCTTACTTCTCCTTTGTTCCTTATCTAAATACAAAACTTAGTTAACAGAGTTAAAAACAAAGACTAGTTTTGACATTATTTTTGTGCTCTTGGAGACCATGTTTACGCCCTAATAGTATGGCTCATGGGAAATACTGCAGACAGATTAAATAATCTTACCCATCCCATGGTGCTCTCTCTATTCATCCCAGATATTTCATCTTTCTACTCAGAGCTCCTAAATGTTAGTCTTCCCAGTTTCAGTAGATACAAAATATTGTCTGCCTCTTCACTGCTAAAGAAAAACTCAAATTCTTCAATACTAGGCTTTACTCTTTTTTCACCCATTGCTATTTAAAAAAAAAAAACCTGATCTCCTTTTTGAGACTGTTCAAAAGAATCATTACAGTTTATATCTTTAGTACTTACCTGCCCCAATTTTAAGTATTTTCTCCAAATGCATTATTTTAGATTAATTGTTACTCAGTCTTTTCTGACATCTGGTATTCCAAAATAGCCTTTATGGTTGTAATTTTATATACATTTGTATTGTAAAGTCTTTCAATTCTTAAACTAGTTCACTAAATTTTCAATCTGAAAGGAATAATCCTCAAACTGTTTAGAAGGAAAAGAGTTACTACACTTGTAAAAAAATTACAGCTCGTTACTAGAATAAGAAGTAGCATAATAAAAATTCTAAGGTTTGCATGAGAAGAGAGAATTTACTGTCTGCTTACTACTTCTATTAATTTAGTGAAGTAGGAACAGATATACTTAAATAATATAAAATGTATACACCTAGCTTGTCAAAGTGGTGTTTATTAAAAATGTACACTTCCATTATTTAACAAACACAGAGACTGAGGAGACATGGTTAGGAATACATGCATTGATTGCAATTCTGTGACTGAATTACATACAGCAACTCCTAAGTCTGTAATTATAATACAAATATGACTTTGCATTTGTCTTTTTAAGAAACTATTATCCACATCTAAGAAAACACTTCTGAAATTTAACAGGGACTTGAAGCTAGAACCAAGTTACTCAACAAAAAAAACCCAACCTATTACAAAGGTAAGGGATGTTGACAGTTTACACCAAGGAGGAGATTACCAATATCTGAAAAAATATGAGGGCAATTTTAAAGCATTAGAAGAGCATTAACATTTTAATTCTAGAAGGAGTGTGACTAATTTGAATTCTGATCTGCAGCATGTAAAATTATTTTGGTGATGTAAGCCCAAAGTCTAGGCTTCAAACTAAGTACAACAATGTCATAGTGACCAGATAATAGCATCTTAATACCAAAGAGGTGTTATTCATTCTGTTTCTCTCACGAAAATAAACCTTTTTTCCTCCAGAGAAGTCTTACACATAGATGCTTACAACTGTTTGAAGAGTAAGGGTAGAGGAGGAATAGGAAATTTCACTTCAAATGCTACATTTAAGACAAGAAGGAACAATGCTAGTGAAAAAAAATTTAATGTTCCTTCAAAATTATGCTTTGAAATTCAAATTCACAAATTGTACTTTGACTAAAAATACAAGCAAAGCAATGGTGTCATACTTACAAAATCAATAAGAAATTGGGGGCCCAAGGTAGTTGGTTTATATTCAAGGACCACTTCTTCCAAGCTCAAGATCAGAGCATCCCAACAGGTAGGAAATCAAGAAAGGGAGCCAGGAGACCCACATGGTTAAACAGGGAACTGCTGAGCAAACTCAAGTGGAAGAAAGAGTCTATAGATCATGGAAGGAGGGGATGGCCACTTGGGAGGAATATAGAACTGTTGTCAGAGGATGTAGGAAAGCAACTAGAAAGCTAAGGACTCCTTGGAATTAAACCTTGGCAAGGGAGGTCAAGGACAACAGAAAGGGCTTCTGCAAATACATTTCAGACAAAACTAATGCTAGAGGCAATGCAGGCCCACTGCTGAATGAGGTGGATACCCTGGTGATAGAGTGTACTAAGAAGGCAGAGTTACTGAATGCCTTCTTTGCCTCTGTCTACACTGCTGGAGACTGTCCTCAGGAACCTCAGACCCCTGAGGCCTCAGAGGAAGTCAGCATAAAGGAGGAGTTTGACTTGGCTAAGACTGGGTTAGGGATCAGTTAAGCAATGTGGACATACATAAATTCCAACTCCTAACATTCTGTGATTCTGTGAAGAACCACATGAATCATAATCATTGATGTCCTCATATAAGAAGATAATTCAGTTAACATACGAGACTACACATTAACTGGTCCTTCTATAACCGTTTCAGAAATACTTTCATTAAAACAATGCAAACTATAGCAAGAAATGGAACAATTAATTTTTTTTGTTAAGCATAGCATTTGTCTCCCCTAATGTGAGACAGTAAGGCTCATAAAACGTCTTTAAAATAATAATTATAAAATTAAGTGCTAAGAGACAATCATTCTCCAGCTTAAGTTGAAGAATCAGTTATCTAAATTACTGCCATATATCTTGTAAAATGTTAAAGAGTTTAATTTCATAGGAATTAGAATAGAAATCTGACATTCTTAAATATTTATCTTATAAATGTAATATGATGAAATCTGAGTGCCAGAAAGTCCTGCAAATCTCTACATAACAAAACTCTCTTACCTCTAAAGTTTCATGTACTGTTCCCAGTCTTACATCTGGCTTTCCGGAATTCTGCAAAGATAACCATCCCCCCCACCCAAATTAACAAAACCCAGAACTATATCGTCAGGAAAAATGTTAATTGACAAATAAATATAATCACACAATTATTTGATTTCATAGCACACCATACATGAAAACTTTTACTTAGATTTAGTCATGATAGAAATACATGCAAATCATTCATCTACCAGTTCAATGTCATATACTTTAAATGTAGCACTTTTAAAATTAATTATTAAAAAAAGATTAATCTTAAGTGATCATAGTATTTCTACCTGGGTTTACATTTTAATAAAACCAAGTAAATCGTATTTATCATATCATGCAAAACATTCTGTGACTACAATTATATAAGGAAAAAATGAAGTTTTTAGTGAACTTTAGAAAAATACTTACAACACAAATTTGGCACAGCTCAAGACTTCAGTTCCTATTGCCTTAATATTTTTTCATGATTTGCCAATGAATATTTGTTTACTCTTACTCTGAAGTAAGTTTTTAAAATGGCCAAGCTTAAGAAATAGAATAATTAAAAAATTGGAAAAAAAAAAGTCCTTGATAAAATATAATTAGAAAATTACTAGTTTTCATTTGTAGTAAGCAAATCAAGCCATTTGGCTCTAAGTTGATATGGACTTCTTAGGCTGTAATGCCAGCAAAACTGCTTGTGCTGTTGCACAGTGAACCTGATTCTACTATTTTTCAATTCTACCCTTTTTCCTCATCCACTTCACATTCAACAAAATAAAGAAGGTAATATAGCACTGGTGGCTGCCTACTCAGCACTGCTGTTGAATTAGTCCTAAGATATTAACAGATGTGCAGCACTTTATACACACTCCGTTTCTGGGACAGAAGAAGAATGAAAGCAATAAAGAAGAATTTGTAAAAGGCAAGTTCTTGGTTCTTTTTTTCCAGCCACAGTTCTTGATATTCTCACCTTGAGAAAGTCACAGGGGACATGCTGCCTGCGCCATGGAAAAAACCGGCAAACCATGGAGCTAGGGGTCAACAATACCTATCTTTGTGGCTTTATCTTGATACTAAGCTGTGGAAATAGAATCTATGCTAAGAAGCTGCAAAAGCTTCCTTGGAACAATCATGAAGATACCTCATAGCCTTGGCTGTTGTATTTCCCTGGCCAAAAATATTACTTTGTAACTTTTGTAGTGGGTTCAATATTCATGTTTCAAAGTTGAAATCAGGTTATGACTTCAGTGATTCTAAAACTGATATACAAAGAATAAAATCCTAAGGATATTAGTTGCTTAGTTTTAAGAGGTTGCACTCTTACAAAACTAGCAAACTTATTTTTCTAGGTTTATAATATACATTGTCTATATTGTTTTGTAAGATTGTGTATTTTAAGTGTCACCAATATAATAAGTGTCACCAATTAATTAATGCTTATAAAATCACTTTTTTAAAGCAGGATGCTTATTTATTTATTTAACCTGAAAGTCAGCTTCTCCTTTCCATCAGATAGATTGGCATAAAATACTCCTCAAAATAGGACTTCACATATTTCTTATCTTGAAAAAGAATCTTCTTTTTTTCCCCCCCTTTTTTTTTAAATCCAAGATTTAAAAGGCATGATAATTCTTACCTCAGTCACTAGCTATAATAAAGGTGTTGAGCCATGGCAATAGAAGCTAACCTAGGCTGCTGTGATTCAGTCTTCCCTCCCACTCTCAATCCCAGACGCAGGTGCCTGGTGAAAGGAGGGTGGAACCAAAACACCGAGGCTTGTAACAGTTCACACTACTCAAGGGCTGGGCCCACCAGTCAGCCTCACACATCTGCCCTCACACAGAGCTACTGAGAACACAAGAAGCTTCCACAAATGAAGTGAAGTTACTGTTGTACAGAGTTAAGGGTTTCGTGCTTCCAGAGTGTTGAACCAAGCTGATAATAGATGTTAATAACGTGTTTTCCTGAATCAATGTAGCAGCAAATTTCATAGCTAACACAGACAATTTCTACTTCTGACACAGTAAAGAACACAACATAGATGAAAATGGCTGCCTCTCTGGCCTTTACATTTAATCACTTTGACGCAGATTATGAGGGACCTGCAGTTGAGCCAGCCACTGAGATCTAACTGAGCCAAAAGATATAAAGGCAGCTATGAATTCACAGAGAGTGTAAAGAAATAGAAACACTTGTCAGAAAAATTGTGTTCAAGCATTCAGGAAATCCATAAATAAAATTAATACTAAGACAATTAGATAAATTTCCAAGTAAGATCTTAAATTTTACATTTAAGGAAAAAAAAAACAAGTAGAAGGTGAACTTCTGTGAGCAGAGGAAGGGTTGATTAATCCCAAGCACCTTGAGTGATTATTTTTTTCTTTAGACTTTAATAAGGAAAACTGCATGGAAGAGAGATGAAGGCAGGGTAGCTAATAAGAATTTCTAAACAGTATAACAAAGACTGAGAAAAATCAAGCAGTTGATTTTGCAGTTGATTTTTTAGGTGGATGATTTTACATAAAAATTTCCTCAGAATTTTGAAACACATATGAACTCATAGTTTCTTATGTTTAAAACACAGTTGCATATGACCATGAGCAACTCGATCCAACTTTGACATTGGCGCTACCTTGATGATGGTGCAGGAAAGGAAGATCTCCAGAAGTCACTTCCATCCTATATTTTACTATTAACACCACATAAATAGAAGTAAATAAGTCGTTGGATCTCATTATTTGAAATAGATTTTTAAGAAAATAATGATATATTTGGGTGTAAGGATCAGTCTGGCTCATAGTATAAACAGGTTTTGGTAATGTCTAGTGCACCAGGCAACATATGGGGGAGTTGCAGCAGCAACTCAGCCTTGGATTGCCTTGAGACAGCCCATGGGGAGCTGTGTAGATAGCGCAGCCCTGGGTTGTCTGGTAAGCACAAAACTAAACTGGGTCATTCAAAGAACCAAAACCTGAGTTGAGCCTTGAAATCCCCCAACAAACAGTATGTCCTGAGTCCAAATCAAACCACTATTCAGTTGCCTAAAAGTAAGACAAAGATAAGCTGGAGGATTTCTGTCTGGCTTCAATACAAAGATAAGCAAGAGAAAGCATACAGAAGGGAACATCACCCATGAATAAATAAAGATAAGGGGAAACACTGCTAAAGACAAACAGCCCAGGTGGTCTAATCCACTCAGACATGACCCTTCCTGCTGTCTCGTACACCAGGGGATAAAACTCTAAGATTCATGTTAGAAATGGGGAGTTACTTCTCCAGCCATGGAGTGATGAGAATCTTCCCCCTTGGTCGGAATGCTGGCCAAGGTAACTTATGTGGGAGTCCTTACCTGGAGGGATAAGTGAATATTTGGCAGGCTTTAAGTTTGTGGTTGCAGGTGACTGACTAACACACGTGTGGTATTCTGAGTTGTGAGTTGTGATAGTGTGTTCCATGAATCGTCTGGGAGTTATAATAGTGAATTTTGTGAGTAGCCTGGGAGTTGTTGTGAATTGCTTAAGAGCAGTAACAGTGACTTTTGTGAGTGGCCTGCGGCCTGTCGTGAATCGCCTGTGGGCTGTAATAGTGCATTTTGTGACTGTTGTAGTTACAATAGTGCATTTTGTGAATCTCTTGTAGTTGTAATAGTGTAGTCTTGCTTTTAAAACTCCAATAGCGCATTCTCCATTGTATCCATAGAACCTGCAATAGTGACACACTGGATCTGCACATGTTGTTCAAATAAATTGTTAAATTTAATCTCTGCAGTAAAGTCTCTTTTCGTCACAATGGGAAAAAAGGACAATTTCTTAAAACGCATCTGGGATAGTCATTAGTGCTTGAAGAGGCATGTCATAGAACAATTGTAGGATGAATAAAAACTATCAAAGAGGGAGATGACGTATCAGGCTGAAATCAGGAAATATATGATTGAAAGACAACCATTAATTAAATCCTCAAAGCTTTAATTTCTTAAATGTTGGAACAAAATGTTTCATATTTAGTAATAGCAGGAAACTGGAAGGCAATATATGCATCAATATATGCAGAACTAAGATATAATAGAATAAGATGTTTGAAGATGGTTGAATAAGACTTTGAAAATGGATATCATGGCTCAAAGGCTCCATTTGGTATTTTTATGTGCAAAATATGTACTTCTATGCAAAACTAAGGTTTTTTATTATTTATTTTTTTTTATAAATTAAAAGCTCAGGGTTCATCAGTTGAAAATAAAAGGAATAAAAAGACAAGGGTGTAATTAGTTGCTTTTGTGATGACTGTGAGGTAGTAGTTTTGTTTAATATATTAGGCTTTACCAGGTTCAAAAGAAGATGAATCCAAGTGGAAGCAAATATATAAAATAGATATTATTAGGATGTTTTTTTTCAATTTGCTGGCTATCTTACAGGAGAAGAACAAGAACGCTTTACTAGTTCAATTAGCAAAACAAAAAAAGTAGAGGGTAAAAGATTTCTGTCTTGATAGATATATCAAGAGGAATAAACACAAGAAAGAAAAGGGGCTATTCTAAGGATAATACCAGCATAAGAATACATGGATCTGTGTTAGACATGAATAATCTGACTGGAAGTTAGGAGATAGTTTCTCACCAGAGTACTGAGGTACTAGAACAAACCCCAATAAAAAGAGTAGTAACAAAAATAATTACTTTTTAAGTGGAGCTCAATGATAGTATTAAATATTAAGTGGTTGTCTGAAGTAACAGATAACTGGATTAAAGAAATCCTTTCTATTTCTGTATTCTTACATGTGTCCGCAATCAAAATCAACCCTCACCTTTTTAGTGGCTACTCGCAGAGTTTGAATTTATTATGCAAAACACTCCCTGAATGCCTATTTTCCCTAAAGTTTTAAGATAATTTATGGCTCAGTTTACCTGAACAGAAATTGATGGTTAGCATTACAAAACTACACTGTAATTATAAACATTTGTCCTTATTATTGTTCCAAAAACATTGCTAGACAATTAAAATTTTCTTTACCAAGAAAAATACAAATCTGCTTGCCTAATTCAGTAAAAAAGAAAATGGAACAAGTTGGATTGAACCCCTCACCATTTCCAAATTTGGCACAGTCTGCAGTTCAGTAAGAATTACAATACATTGCTATGCATCATATTGGGTAACAGATATATGCATTAAAACAAGAAAATATCCAGTTGGGAACCAGCTTAAATAATACAAACCAACATGAAAAATACCAACTAAACATAGAGCATCATCTGTAAGAACTGTACTTTTTTCAAAATATAACTGCAGACTCTATGCTAGTGACTTTAAAAGTTATTGCATCTAGTTAAATAGAAGCTGAACATTTCAAATTTAATAGTTAAGAAAAATCTTACCTTCATTTTAGAGCTTTCATGTTCATTTGGAAAGGGAAAATATTCTTCTAGAAATTCACCCAGATCATTCAAGATTTTTTCCTTATATACGTCTAGTTCCAACTTTTGCTGTTGCAGTTCATTAAACACTCTAATATTCAAACTAATAGTAAAAACACAGCAACAAAATATGAAATTCAATAAAATAATTAAGTTCTTAACAGCAAAAAATCTGTATTATTTGCTGTTGTAAGTTCAACATCTTGAATCACAGGATATCAGGAGGTAGTAGCAATATTTTTCATGTTTCAAATGTGGATTACTCAGTTATTATTGCATCTATTTAAGAAAACAAGGAGTATGCTTTACAAGTTTGCTCATTTACTCTTGTTGATATTTAAAGTTTTCAATATAAAAACCAAACACTGTAGAAATACCTTTTTCTGGAATGTTCTTGACCTTGGTGTTTCATCTCTTCTTCAATTCTATTAAAAGTATCTAGTAGCTGCTCCTGTTGCTCATACCACTGCTGTTCTCTTCAAAATATGAAAAGTAGGAAATAGCACAACAGATAAATATTGTTCTCAGACAGTCAAAAAAACCCGTGTGGTAAAAAAGCGTACAGCATTTACAAGTCTCAAGTACTGCATTACCTTCTCAGATCTTCTTCCAGTTGTTCATTCTTTAACTTAAGTCTTGACAGCACCATTTCAAGATCATTCTTTACTTTCTTCAACTATAAAAAAGTAAAAATAAACCTACAGTTTGCAGATATCCCAGTCTGTAGTGTTTGCTTTATGTCAGGTTACATCTATAAATGTCGTAAAGAGGGCCAAAATTGCCTGTAGTTTCTTAAGAACTACAGCTATAGAAGGGCATGGTATTTTTAAATCCAGTTGAAGTTACTTAAGATGTTATTGTGACCAGTTGCTCATTAGTGTCTGATTAAAGCTCTACAAAACAGCATAGCTGATTTTACTTGGAGCAAATTATGGAGTACACACATGAACTGCTCATCTGATGAAAGAGTGAGGAGAAAACACCTACAGCACCACTGCTGCATTATCCAAATCATTGCAGCTGTTTGCAAGAATGAATCCATGCTAACTGCACCAACATAAAATGTACAGCACTCAGAAAACAACGATGCTGGAAAGAAAGATTCATTGCATCCATGAATTAAATGGTCCTCAGTGACATGGACATATTTGGAGGAGGAAAGAGGGAGAAATGTAGACAGAAGCTATATGTGCTGCTGAGGATAGGGAACAGTGGACTGGGTCTTTCACTAATGCATTATGTTCTACAAAGCAGTATTTCTAATAGCTTATGATTTTTTAACATCAACAGATGATTCGTATGTATTTTGTCTCCTACACAAACTATGAGAGCTTTTATAGTTAGCTCAAAGAAAAAATTGTGAAAATATTTTACAGAAGCAAGTGTGCAACATCTAAAAAAAATTGGAATCTTCAACAAAATAGGCCATAAAATGGGATAGCAGATCAAACATGCCATAGCAATACAGTCAAATGAAAGTGTGTAACCAAACAATTTATTAATAGTGACTCTTAACAGCAGTTGGGTTCCTTGTTGTGAGTGATACAGGAAGGAAGAAAGCTGCGAGGAAGAAGAAAACCCAAGATGTTTGGGTTTTGTTTTGGTTTTGTTTTGCTTTTTAAACCATAGCCACAGGAATATTCTCAAGTCATGTTGCATACCAATATCCAATCAATATAGTGTAATGCTACCCATAACACACTCTTGATTTGCTCTTTCTTCCAAGGCTGGAATAACTCAACAAAATATTTGCAAATTATTTCCACAAAACTCTAGATCTAAGAACGCTGACTCTTTTGTTGTTATGTATCAAGTATGATATGCCTCTTTTGTTGTTATATATCAAGTATGATACGCAATACATAAAAACTCTTCATTTAAAATATCTTTCATTACAACTAGGAAATTTTAGTAGTTATAATACAGAGGACAAAAGATATTAGAACAAGAACAATGCCTGAAGAAACATACAGTGTATTGGAGGTAGTCCACCACAGGAGTAGTCATGGGAAAATGTGGCAATTATACACATTTTTTTAAACAAAATTCTATTCTCTCTTAACAAACAAAGACTTACCTCTTCTTTTCCTAATGCTAGCAGTACATCTGGATTGGCAGAAATTACTGAAAAATAAAAACAAATTGGTTTTTTGGCACTGGATGCTGTAGACTTTTTTAATACGGAAAAGCAGCCTGGCTAGAGAGAAACTCGTCTCTTAACAAAGTAACTTGGCTGTCATTTAAGCACATTTTGTGGTGCCCCGCTGTGCTAACCTACTGTCGCTCTTCAGCAAATTAAATCAGACTGAAAAAAGTGAGGTGTTAGTGCTTCTGTATTATTTTTTTATACTTGAGCCAGCTGAGGCACATAACATTGAAATGTGAAGTTTGGTCATACTTCAAGATAAGCAAGCCTAATTTCTTCAGTGGAAGGGATTCAATCAACATTACCAATGCAGGCAACAAAATTTTTCTCATCTTCCTTGTCAAATAGTCTCTCATATGCTTGATCAGGATTGTAAAACCTCTCAGAAGTAAAGAACTTAAAAAGCATGTCACTGTCCTTACTGTTCACAAGAACAGTTAGCTACATATAGGGAGATGAAAGGCCAGCAAGGCCAATATCCTAATGCCAACCCTGAGCAACAGCAGTACTTAAGGGAAAGCACAACACTATTAAAGGATGTGGTAATGTTTCCCCAGAGTGCTTCTGCAAAATGCACTGATTTATGGCTCATGGATTTTCTGAATAAAAAGTGAACTGTTGTATTTGATAGCCTTCAGTGAACTCCAGCCAATTCTCAATTGCAGCATCTGCAAAAATGCATGACTTCTTTTCAAAAGTGAAGCTACTGAATCTTTCTGTTAACAGGAGAAATGAAAGCTACACTAACAGATTTAAATCTTAGTATGACAGGGATTTTTTTGTCAAAGCTTGGGCTCCAAATCTCTAGAATTATTTCCATAAAAGCTTTTCCTTTAACAAAAAGGAAAATCCTTAATCCTCTCATAAATTCATTAAATATCTTCTAAATAAAATATAGTTGATTTCATAAGATTATAGAAGTACTTTTTTTGATAAGGTAATTACATAGCTTTTATCTCCACAAATTTTGAGAAGCCTTACAATGGTACTTTTAAAAGCAGTGTGGGTTTGTTCTGAGATTAAAATGAGGAGATGAGGCGATGTCCCAGAAGACTGGAGGAAGGCTAATGTCACTTTGATCTACAAGAAGGACTTAAAGGAGGACTGAGAAAATTATAGGCCCATAAGTCTTACTTCAGTCCCTGTGAGAGTTACAGAAGGAATTCTCCTGGGGGCTATCACAAGTCAAATGAAGCACATGATCAGGAAAAGCCAGAAGAGAGGAGTCACCAAGCCCAAATCCTGCTTGGCAAATCTGCCTACCTTCTATGACAAAGTAACCTGCTTGGTTGATGTGTGG